CCATTCACATCAAGATTCATTTTCAATTATCTTTATATACAGAAGATTGATTTAGTATATATTAAGTAAAGATTTCATCAGTTTGCACCCACACAGAAACACAAAGTGTAAAATACTGTTTCAGTACTAGTTATATCATTACTTCACACTGGACAACACACTAAGGACAGATCCCACATGAGAAGTAAGTACACAGTGACTCCTGTTGTTGACTTAACAATTCGACACTCTTGTTTATGGCATCAGTAATCTCCCTAGGCTCTAGTCATGAGTTGCCAAGGCTATAGAAGTCTTTGAGTTCACTGACTTTGATCTTATTCCAGCAGGGTCATAGTCAAAGTGGAAGTTCTCTCCTCCCTTCAGAGAAAGGTACCTCCTCCTTTGATGACCTGTTCTTTGCACTGGGATCTCACTCACAGAGATCTTTCATTTAAGTCTTCTTTTTTTTTTTTTTTCCCCAGGGTGTCTTGGCTTTCCATGCCTAAAATACTCTCATGGGCTCTTCAGCCAGATCCGAATGCCTTAAGGGCTGATTCTGAGGCCAAAGTGCTGTTTAGGACATCTGCCATTCTATGAGTCTGCTGTGTATCCCGTTTCCCATGATGGATCGTTCTCTCCCTTTTTGATTCTATCAGTTAGTATTAGCCTTCTGACTACTTCTAAGTGATCCTATAAATAATTTTTTGTGCTCCATTTCTGATATTTATTCAGTCTCTTCATCTCCACATTCTAGTATTAAAGTGTTGTGTTCTTTTGGGGTGTCGTATTGTCTTCCTTATTCTTGTTTCTGGAATTGCTGCAGTTATATTAGGCATTTGTGGTGATACTTGGTATTTTTGCCCCAGTGATGGCTTTAACTTTGGACTATGCCTCCATGGCTTAGTGGAGTGTCTGCTCTTTCAGTGAATACCTAGAGGTGTGTGCTGGGTGTGTTCAGGGAGCTCTTCTCAGTGCTCTATGGTAAGGGGAGCGTCCAAGGTGCCAGCTGAGTTGAGTGTGGTAAATTTTTTTTAAATAAGAGGGGAGGTTTGTTGTGACCTGTTGGCATATTCTCATGTTTACTTCCTCTCCTCAAAGGAGACCAATGCCTGGCATTGGCCCCATTGAGTGCAGTTTTCATCTGCTGCCATAGGAACATCACAAAGGATCTGTGCATTCCTCAGCGTGAGCAGCAATGCCTCTCATCAGGGATTCAGGGGTCCCTGAGCATGTGGACCACCCACAGTTACTACCCAAAGTCCCAGCCACACCCTGTTCCCTCCCATGTATCCACCGTGTTTTCAGAGTCGCAGCATACAAGGCTCCCACAGTCATGAGCACCCAGTCCCCTATCAATTCTTCCAGTCAGACTTAGGCATCTGCTCTCTGCTGGTTGCTGGGTGTGTGGACACGTGCAGGCACAGATGTATGTATGTCCAAAATAGTGTCAGACCAGTCTATGTTAGTTACAGGACACTGGTGCTAGGTGGTTGGGGAGAGAGAAATGTGCTCTGTCTTTTCCCCCTCTAGGTTGGCAAGTACACTGTCCCTCACAGGGCTCCAACTTGGGCCCATTGCAGGATCTTCCTGCAGCTTTATCAACAGTGGCTTGGGTTGATGCAGTCTGGTCTCACCTCACTCCAAAGCTGGTGCTGAGGCTCTTGGCTATTGTGGTCCCAAGCTGTGCAAGTCCCTAACCTCCATGTAGGTGCACAGTGTCCCCCGTTTGTGTGGAGCTTCCTCTGCCATTTTCTCCCTAATCCTTCCCAGGGATAGCACTCTATCCACTTTTTTAAAGCTATACTTCCCTACACTAGAGCAGTAAGCTACTTTCCCATTCTGCCATCTTGAAAAAAGCCTTTGGTAAGGTTTTTTTTTTTTGGCATGTTTTGGTAACATAGAGAAAGATTTAATTCCTTCAGGTTCAGTTTATTTTTTGACTTATTAAGTCAAACTATTTTATTAAATTCAAATTTTCTTCAATTTTTATTGAACTGTATTATCTATACTATTTCCAAATTTGTGCAATTTACTGTGATATAATATGTAGTCACATATATAATTTCCATGGATACTTGAAAAGAAGGTATGGTTTCTGTTTGAGGTTTCAGGGTATGACATCACTTAGTTCTATCTTATATAATTTATGTTTTACATTCATATGTTTTTATTCCCTACTTCCTCATATTTTGTGATGTATTTGTAGCTTCCTCTCTTGGCTTCCTAGGACTCTGAATGACAATTCCCCTGGATGAATGAACTCATATTCATGATCCTGTGTCTCCAAGGAATCATTTGGTCAACACTCCTCTTTGTGCCAATTAGCAATAACTCTCACTGTAACAGCATTTTTATACTTGTTTGTGCTTGAACTAATACTAGTTGCAGTGATGGTAAGTCTCTGGAAATACTCATACCTTTGGTATTTGAATGAATTGATGGCAAATATAGAAACAGTGTGCAATGTTGAAGTCTACAAGGGCCAATGTTGAACAGATGGATGTGGTGACGGGACTCTTCCATATTGAAATCAATTAAAAGATACTGTGCACAAGGGAAGCAGCTTCTGTTGAGCTTAATGAGCAAGAATCAATACAAATGAAAAGGAAAAAATGAAATGTCCTTTCTTTTTCATTACTATCCAAGATTGAGATCCAAAAAGGACATCAGAATGGTTAGGAGGTGGTCCGTGCGTGGGAATAGAATCTGGCTTGCTTTAGGACTGGCCTTTATTTCATTCTTGACATGGAGACAGAGCAATTTTGCTTTTTTTATTCATTAGAATGGTGAGAACTGAGTCTCTTCTGTGGGAAACTGAAGTGTTTCATGTTGATCAAGGTAATGAATATCTGGGAACATAACCGGGTTTCTTTGAGCTGCAGGTATTCCGTGATTTGCCTTCTCTTATGTTTATTCAAAAAGCTAGGTTGAATTATAAAAATATTTAGAGTATTTTATGAAACCTAGATGCATGTGAATACTTGAGGACAAATCGTATTTCCTTTCTTGCTTAGATCTGCTGAGGGTTCTAAGACTGAAAATGAGGCACCCAGAAAGAGACTAAGGTGTATAACACAATTGAAAAGTCATGAGAAAAGAGCCAAGCCTTTTCTACATACTGGGTAAGAGGCAGACCAGACTCAGTAGAATTTCTGCACTTACTATTCCAGCTTGTTTTTTTCTCCTCTCTTGATCTTGACTTCATTAAATGTAAAATAAGTCAATAATAGAAATTTTAATGGTTTTTCTAGTATGAAACAAGATAGTGTAGGTACAGGAGTTTCTGTGGTGTCCTGTGCAGGTAGCCACTGTTCCTGTTTCAGTTTTGCTTTTCATAATTGCCTTAAGTAGCTCATCAACTACTACTCCAAACTTGTAGATATTCCCTGAGAGTGTCTCAGTAATTCTGTAAGCTCAGACATGAAACTGTATATTGAAATAAATTAGATCCAGCTCTTGAATTGCAGCATAGGTTCTTATTTTTTTGTGATGACAGCCCTGATCACCCTGGCTCATGGGCATCTTTTTTGCCTCAAAAGTGTTATGATCTACCACTTATTCAATGTTTTTTATGCAATACATCTTTTGTTATTTATATTTTTTGATATGAGCTAAAATGTAAAACCCATAATGGTAGTGAATGTTAAGTTCATATTGTCTGTTGTGCAGACTTATTATACATAGTCTAGTAAATACTAAAATGAATTACGCAACAAATTTGTAATAATATATTGAGTTGTAAAATGAATAACAGAAGAGGGAGATTGATGTGAAGAGAGGGTATCTATGTGATATGGGATTGATAACCAATTGCAAACAAGGGAAAACTTCAAATATGGTTGCAGTCAGTGCACAGGGTATCATCATTATGGTGTTTTTCATTGCATACTGGACTAGCCTTGTATTACAGGATAATAGAAGTGTTGGACTTAGAAGGATTACTTAGCATCACCATCTTTTATCTAAAAGTAATTAAAAAAGAATTCAAGAAGATAGTTGAGTAGATAAGGTGGGAGAAAGGACTTACTCAAATTCTCATGGGTTGGCTGGCGCCGCGGCTCAATAGGCTAATTCACAGGTACACCGGGTTCTAGTCCCGGTCGGGGCGCCGGATTCTGTCCCAGTTGCTCCTCTTCCTGTCCAGCTCTCTGCTGTGGCCTGGAAGTGCAGTGGAGGATGGCCCAAGTGCTTGGGCCCTGCACCCGCATGGGAGACCAGGAGAAGCACCTGGCTTCTGGCTTCGGATCAGTGCGGTGCGCCGACCACAGTGCACCGGCCGCAGTGGCCATTGCGGGGTGAACCAACGGAAAAGGAAGACCTTTCTCTCTGTCTCTGTCTTTCTCATTGTCCACTCTGCCTGTCAAAAAAGCATTCTCATGGGCTTAGGAATAGGTTTGAACCCCAGAACTTCTGATTTCAAGTACAAAATTCTTTATACCATCACACGAACTATGAAAAGTTAATATGGTATGAACAATGCTGCATAGATATGAATCACGTGGAATTTGGTTTGCTACCTTTTTTTTTTTTTTGACAGGCAGAGTTAGACAGTGAGAGAGAGAGAGACAGAGAGAAAGGTCTTCCTTTTCCGTTGGTTCACCCCCCAAATGGCTGCCACGGCCAGTGCACTGCGCCGATCCGAAGCCAGGAGCCAGGTGCTTCCTCCTGGTCTCCCATGCAGGTGTAGGGCCCAAGCACTTGGCCCATCCTCCACTGCACTCCCTAGCCACAGCAGAGAGCTGGACTGGAAGAGGGGAACTGGGACAGAATCCGGCGCCCCGACCAGGACTAGAACCCGGGGTGCTGACACCGCAGGCGGAGGATCAGCCTAGGGAGCCATGGTGCTGGCCTTTGTTTGCTACCTTGCATTCACTTTATCCATGTTTAGTTTGGCAGCATTAATCTGTTTTCTAACTCTGCCATAGTGGTCACTTTGTGACCGCTTCCAAGCCCTAATTAAGCTACAAAAGTGGGATACTTTCAGGATTTCCGTATTCTCTTTGCTGCTTATCAGAAAAAAATCTTTAATATGACTTGATCAAATTGTAATAGCACAAAACTAAACAGGAAGAGTATTAATGAGTCAGTGATAGCACTGTATTTAGGAGTGATCAAAGGGTAAGATAACTAAAGGTCTTCAGAAATTTCTTGACATTTATAGAACTCCACCAGCAGGAGTAACTAATTATGAGGGAAAAAAAACCAATATTCATGTTATTCCATGGAATTGCTAACTCTCTTATTACCCTTTGTCTAATGTAGCATTTGCTGCTGTCTGATCTTTACGTATCAACACCTTGAAGATTTTAGGGTCTGGGGAGTTAGAAGAAGTGCTTGGAAGTGATAAATTATAGCCTATTTCCTGCAAGTACAATTTATAGGTTAAATAAAGGAGTTTTGATTTTGTGAGACAGAGTAACTTTTTTTTTCTCTACAGTTTGAAACTCATGCAGTTAATGACTCATACAGGCTTGATTTTCTCTTTTTCAGGTCTTGTTAGGGTCAGCTATGCTCACAAGATAATGGCTGGAGCCAACCACTCTATGGTGTCTGAGTTTGTGTTCCTGGGACTCTCCAATTCATGGGAGATCCAACTCCTTCTTTTCCTTGTTTCCTCCATGTTCTACATGGCAAGCCTGATGGGAAACCTCCTCATTGTGTTTTCTGTGACCTCTGACTCCAACTTACACTCCCCCATGTACTTCCTGTTGGCCAACCTCTCCTTTCTTGACCTGGGGGTTTGCTCTATTGCAGCCCCCAAAATGATGTATGACCTTTTTAGAAAGCACAAAGCCATCTCTTTTGGGGGTTGTATAACTCAGATCTTCTTCATTCATACTATTGGTGGCACAGAAATGGTGCTGCTCATAGCCATGGCCTTTGACAGATATGTAGCCATCTGTAAGCCTCTACACTACTTGACTATCATGAGCCCAAGAATGTGCATTTTAATTTTGATTGCTGCCTGGATCCTTGGCCTCATCCACTCAGTGGCCCAGTTGGCTTTTGTTATAGATTTACCATTTTGTGGCCCAAATGTATTGGATAGTTTTTACTGTGATCTCCCTCAGCTCATTAAACTTGCTTGCACAGAGACCAATAGACTTGAGTTCATGGTCACAGCCAATAGTGGACTCATCTCTGTGGGGTCCTTCTTCATATTAATTATTTCTTACATCTTCATTCTGGTCACTGTTCGGAAACATTCTTCAGGTGGTTTATCCAAGGCCCTCTCTACCTTGTCGGCTCACGTCACTGTGGTGGTCTTATTCTTTGGGCCGTTAATCTTTTTCTACACCTGGCCCTTCCCCTCATCACACTTGGACAAATTTCTTGCTATCTTTGATGCAATTCTCACTCCTTTTCTGAATCCAGTCATCTATACGTTCAGAAACAAGGAGATGAAATCAGCAATGAAGAAACTTTGCCGTCAGCTTGTGAGTTACAGGAAGCTGTCCTAAATAATCTAAAAATGTAGTTCTATAAGCTCAATAAAAAGAGACAAAATAAAGTCATCAAAACTTTAGATCTGTATTAATTTTATATTTTAGGTTACATTTAAGCATTTACCATGTTACTGTGTATCTCTAGTATCCCAATCAATAAGAATAAAGGGAGTTAACATTGAACACTTCCATGTTTCTGAAACTGGGTTTATTCAACAAAATTATTTATGATAATTGTGCGATATTTTTACCTTGATAATTTTTTTATAATTAAGAAATGCTTTCTGTTTATTCTCCTTATGGCTTCTATGTAAAGTATTTCAACCCAAAACCAGTATTCACCTAATCCAACACTTTCAATAGCCTCCTCCCTCAAAAGGTGCCAAATGTAGAAAATATTAAATAATTTAGTGCTGAAAATTAGTGTATTATTTATTTCACTGTTAGATTTTCTCTTGAGAGAGAGAGAAAGAGAAAGAGAGATGCCCAATATTCCGGTTCAATCCCTGTATGCTTGCAATGGGTGAAGTCAGGAGCTAGAACTTGGTAACTTGAGTCAACACCACTACCTCCCAGAATTTGCAGTAGTAGGAAGCTGGAGTCATGAGCTGGAGTTGGGTGTTGAACTCAAAAAATTGGATGTGGGCCATGGGTGATGTCTTAACTGCTACTAACTGCCTGTCACACTTCCCTTGTTTTGAATTGATTAGTGTTCTTTTCTCAGACTATTAAAGTGCCATAATACCTACTTGTTTTGATTTTTTCCACCTCCTCCTTTAGTGTCTGCTTGCTTCTTAGATCTTTTGATTCCTTAAAGAACTGTTGATTACATAATACATTTGTGGAATTTTAGATTTGGAATTTGAGAGATTACGAATCTCAACTAAGTTATTTTATAGATGGTAATACTCAGGATAAGGTATTAGATAACATATATATATATATATATATATAAAGTTGAGAATCAGGTTTCCTTATTTTTGATTTAAAAAAATTAAAATAAACTCACTTGTTGGTTGGGATTCTTGAGACTTTCGCTAACAGATTATACTGCTAGCTTTATATTGCTTTTCTATTTCTAGCTCCAGTTACAGCAGAAGTGACATTTTTGAGATTATTATTTTTAAAGTGGACATCAGTTTCATATGATTATTTGTTGTTTCCAAGTTCTTTATTTATATGCATACTAACAAGAAATTTCTGGAACCAAGTCCAAATTATTTTATAACTATGTTCTTATACCATCACTCATCCTATCCATGGCTTTTATTTATGTCACTTACTCAAACATCCATAATTAAGATTTATTTATTTGAAAGGCAGAGTTACAGAGAGCAGAGGTGGTGGGGGAGAGAGAGAGAGAGAAAGAGATGGGGGAGAGAGAGAGTGGTCTTCCATCTGCTGCTTCACTCCCCAGATGGCCTTAATGGCTGGACCTGTGCCGTTCCAAAGCAGGAGCCAGGAGCTTCCTCTGGGTCTCCTACATGGGTGCAGAGACCCAAGGACTTGGGCCATCCTCTACTGCTTTCCCTGGCCATAGCAGAGAGCTGGATTGGAAGTGGAGCAGCTGGGACTTGAACTGGCGCCCATAAAGGATGCCGGCACTGCAGGCGGCAGCTTTAACTGCTATTGCCCCATATATTGCTACCTTAATGAACACTTTAAAGGCCATTCACCAGGCCGGCGCTGTGGCTCAATAGGCTAATCCTCCACCTGCGGCACTGGCACACCGGGTTCTAGTCCTGGTTGGGGCGCCGGATTCTGTCCTGGTTGCCCCTCTTCCAGTCCAACTCTCTGCTGTGGCCCGGGAGTGCAGTGGAGGATGGCCCAAGTCCTTGGGCCCTGCACCCGCATGGGAGACCAGGAAAAGCACCTGGCTCCTGGCTTCGGATCAGCATGCTACGCCGGCTGCAGCGGCCATTGGAGGGTGAAACAACGGAAAAGGAAGACCTTTCTCTCTGTCTCTCTCTCTCACTGTCCACTCTGCCTGTCCAAAAAAAAAAAAAAAAAAAAATTGCATTAAAAAAAGCACCATTCACCATCATTTTCTTATTACCCACCAAGATTTGGTCGTTATTTTAAGTAAAGTTCAGTAATTCGGGGTATGAAGATTACATTTATTTATTTGTATGAGTGGATCATGATTCCCATGACTGAACACTTGGGGCACTTTAGAAAATTTGGAACCCAAAGATAATGTAAACCAGAGATAGAATCTTTCTGTTCTATAAGCAAATATATTGGTTTATGAACTAATAACCAAGATAATGTTACACTAACGTCTACTTATTTTAAAGATTCTTAAAAATGTCCCAAACGTACTTTCATCATTGTGAGTTAGTGATTTTTGATAGGTCCTTATAGCAAATCCATCTTTTCCAAGCATCAACAAATTTCAGACTTCTTTTAGGAGGTCATTTTACTCTTTCGTATATGCCTTTCTTATTTAAATTGGGTTTTAAAATTGTTAACTCACTCATAAGATATCTATTTGCTAGGGCAAATACAGACCAAGACATTAACTTAGCCAGGTACAGGATATTTCTGTCTAATAAAATTATCCATTGGCTGGGCATTGTTTATGTATGAAATTGTTCCTCTTTCCACTTAATAAATTTTGTTTGTGTGTCTCTTTCTCCCGATGGCCTCAAAGTGCCTCTTTGACTATTAGCCTCAAAAATATTATATGATTCCCTGATTTTCTGTTTGACAAAAGGAAACTTAAAATTTTTTTTGATTTAATGAATGCATTTTTTCATAGATACAACTTTAGGAATATACTGGTTCTTTCCCCCAGAGGCCCCCCTCCCCCCAAATCCCATCCCACCTCCCTCTCCCTTTCCCATCTCCTTCTTCATTATGGCTCATTTTTAGTTTGACTTTATATACAGAGGACCAACTCCATGCTAAGCATAGACTTCAACAATTTGCACCCCCCCCAACATATAGAGCACAGTTTGGGAACAAAATTTGCAGTTGATTCTCGTAGTACAACTCATGGATGGAGGTCTTATATAGGGAGTAAGTGCACAGTGACTTCTGTTGTTCCTTTAACAATTAACACACACTCTTATTAACACTCTTATTTGTAAAAGGAAACTTAAACATGCAATTATTAGAAATAAAATTCAGATCAGACTTATTATCATTCAGCGTGCTCTTAACTTTTTTTTTTTTTTTTTTTTTTAGCCAGGCAGAGTGGACAGTGAGTGAGAGAGAGAGAGAGAGAGAGACAAAGGTCTTCCTTTTCTGTTAGTTCACCCCCCAGTGGCCGCTGTGGCCGGTGCACTGCGGCCAGCGTGCTGTGCTGATCCGAAGCCAGGAGCCAGGTGCTTCTCCTGGTCTCCCATGTGGGTGCAGGGCCCAAGCACTTGGGCCATTCTCCACTGCACTCCCTGGCCACAGCAGAGAGCTGGCCTGGAAGAGGGGCAACCGGGACAGAATCCGGCGCCCCGACCAGGACTAGAACCCGGTGTGCCGGCGCCGCAGGAGGAGGATTAGCCTAATGAGCAGCAGTGCCGGCCGAGTGCTCTTAACTTTCATTTTTAAACCTTGTAAAAACTGCCACAGCTCCTTTATCATCTATCCGTGTTCTTTCTGTTCTCCCAAGATATTTAAAGTCCATTCATTGCTTTTGCCCAGCTACCAATACCTCTACCACCATCTATAACATTAATTGAACATATATAATGTTATGAGTATTATTCCAAGTTGTTTTTATACATTAACTCATTTAATTCTAACAGCAGCCAAGTAGGTAATGTTTTCATTCTTATTTTACATCTTATGTAACTAAAGCAAGGAAAGATTTAGTAACTAGCCTAGGGACACGCAGCTGAGAGTGGTAGGGCTGGATTATAAAGCCAAGCAGTTATTTCTCTGTTCTAAATCACCATACTCCACAGCCTCCCAGGATGGTAGGTCTCTCTTACGTGTATTGCTAAAATCTGGACATATTTTTTCTCTACTTACTTACCAGCATAAAGTAGTAAGCATAAAACATGCAGCAACTAGATAAAATGTGATGTTGAAAATTTGTGGTCTGACATTTTAGTGTTTCGTTAAAATATTTATCTATTCACTATTTACGAAGTTTAAGATTCAGGTAGTTACGTAATAAATGACGCAAACTTTTTTTTTTGAATCCTAAAAAGCAAAAACCACAGAATCCTAATGACTTTATTTAGTCTCGTTCACCAGGTGTGTCAGCAGAGAGTATTTCTTCCAGTTCTTTTTTGGTGTGTGTGTGTAACTGAAATAATTTTTAAAAAAGATTTATTTATTTGCTTGAGAGGCAGAGTTGAAGACAGAAAGAGGGAGAGACAGAGAGAGGTCTTCCATCTGCTGGTTCACTCCCCAAATGGCCCCAATGGCTGGAGCTGGGCTGATCTGAAGCCAGGAGCCAGAAGCTTCTTCTAGGTCTCCTATGTGGGTGCAGGGGCCCAAGCACTTGGGCCATCCTCTACTGCTTTCCCAGGCCATAAGACGGGAGCTGGATTGGAAGTGGAACAGCTGGGACTTGAACTGGCTGCCATATGGGGTGGTGGTACCGCAGGCAGATGTTTAACCTCCTATGCCATACTGCTTGCCCCTAAAGTCATTTTTTAAAATTTTATTTAAGCTATACAAGTTTCATGTATTTCATTTATACAGGTACTCCTACCCATGCTCCAACCCTTCTTCCTCATCCCTCTCCTATTTCCACTCTTAATTTTTATAGAGATCCACTTTCAGTTTACTTTATACTCATAAGTTTAACCCTACACTAAGTAGAGTTCAATAAATAGTATGAAGAAAAAAAAACACTGTTACAGACTTCTTATATTGACATTATTATGTATAATAATCTACTCCTTGGATACTAGTTCATGATAGGGTCTTGTGGTTTGAGGAAGAGATTGAAGCCGTGTGGACACCATGCTAGGAGCAGGTAAAAGTGCAGGTAAAAGCTTCTGACATGCAGGCATAAGTTTATAGGAATATAAACTTAAGGACTTGAAGTGGCCATGGTAGGGCAGGGATGAGTTGAGGACAAGCTAAAACCTTC